CCCACAACTTTGTTCCACAAGGTTCCCACAACTTTGCCCCACAAGGTGCCCCCAAGGTTCGCAAGGTTCCCACAGCTTTGCTCCAAGGTTCCCACAAGGTTCCCACAACTTTGTTCCACAACGTTCCCACAACTTTGCCCCACAAGGTTCCCACAAGGTTCCCCCAAGGTTCCCAAGGTTCCCACAAGTTTGCTCCAAGGTTCCCACAGCTTTGCTCCAAGGTTGCCCCAAAGTTCCCACAGCTTTGCTCAAATGTTCCCACAAGCTTCCCACAACTTTGCTGCAAGGTTCCCAGAAGCTGCCCACAACTTTGCCTACTTTGCTTCAAGGTTCCCACAGCTTTGCTCCAAGGTTCCCACAAGGTTTCCACAACTTTGCCCCACAAGTTTCCCAAGGTTCCCACAAGATTGCTCCAAGGTTCCCACATTGTTGCAAGGCCCCCCCTAAGGTTCCCCCACAAGGTTCCCCCAAGGTTCCCACAATGTTGCTTCACAAGTTTCCAACAAAGCGCCCAAGGTTCCCACAACTTTGCTCCAAGGTTGCCCCAAGGTTCCCACAGCTTTGCTCCAAGGTTCCCACAAGGTTCCCGCACTTTTGCTGCAAGGTTCCCAGAAGCTTCCCACAACTTTGTCCACTTTGCTTCAAGGTTCCTACAAGGTTCCCACAACTTTTTTGCAAGGTAAGGTTCCCACAACTTTGCCCCACAAGGCTCCCAAGGTGCCCACAACATCGTTCCACAACTTTGCCCCACAAGGTTCTTCCAAGGTTCCCACAGCTTTGCTCCAAGGTTCCCACGAGGTTCCCACAACGTGGCCCCGAGGTTCCCACAAGGTTGGCGCATGTTTCCCACAAGGTTCCCGCAAGGTTCCTAATCGACAGTCAAGGAAACGTCATCATACCTCAAGTCTATTTCATTGTGCTTCCTACTGTTACCTTTTACCTTGCTTTTTTTTGGTATCCTATCCTCTTAGTTTCCTCCTGTTCTTCATTCGGGCCCCGAATCCACTTTCGGGCACCGAATCCAGTTTCGGGGCCCGAATCCACAGTCAAGGACACCTCATGATATTTCAAGTCTATTTCATTGTGCTTCCTACTGTTACCTTTTGCCTTGCTAACCTTTTCGTATCCTATCCGAATCCTTTTAGCTTCCTCCTGTTCTCCATTCGGGCCCCGAATCCGGTTTCGGGCCCCGAATCCGGTTTCGGGCCCCGAATCCACTTTCGGGCCAGTCAAGGACACCTCATCATACCTCAATTGTATTTCATTGTGCTTCCTACTGTTACCTTTTACCTTGCTTACCTTTTAGTATCCTATCCTCTTAGTTTCCTCCTCTTCTCCATTCGGGCTCCGAATCCGCTTTCGGGCCCCGAATCCGGTTTCGGATCCCCAATCCACAGTCAAGGCAACCTCATCATACCTCAAGTCTATTCAATTGTGGTTCCTTCTCTTAACTTCCTAACCTTCTAGTATTCTATTCTCTTAGTTTCCTCCTATTCTCCATTTGGGCCCCGAACCCGAATCCGGTTTCGGGGCCCGAATCGACAGTCAAGGAAACCTCATCATACCTCAAGTCTATTTCATTGTGCTTCCTACTGTTACCTTTTGCCTTGCTAACCTTTTAGTATCCTATCCTCTTAGTTTACCTTGCTAACCTGAAGAAAAAGTGTTGCATTTTGCGCTTAAGCTGTTGGGGATATTCTTTGGGCTTATTGGCTTTGGAAAGGCAGGTTCCTCCAAAATTTCTGCTAAGTGCGCAGGTGGTGTGGATGCTGACCCCGGGTCAACACAGCAAAAACAAGGCACGAGCAGAAAAACTTAGGAACTTGCTGTTGAGTTGATTCTTTGGAGCTGCGAACTGT